TTCACCAAACACCACAAAAAGTCATGGATCTCCCTAAGGTAAAACGCTCATTATCCGGAGGTAAACTAGTCCCCCGTTCGGGTCTCCGGGTGGGGACTGCTTTAGGGGATTCATGGCGCAAGTTGAAATATAGGGATTTAAATATTGGTACGTGGAACGTAAGGAGTTTAAACATAGCAGGGAGGCTAAAATCGGTCGCGAATGAGGTAAATGGGTACAATTTGGATGTCGTGGCTCTGCAAGAGGTTCGCTGGCCAGGGGAGGGCTCGATGAGGGAAGGGAAGTACACTATTTGGTACGGAGGAAGCGGGAATCATTGTTTAGGTACCGGGTTTCTAATTAGGAGTAGATTACTATCCGCTTTGAGGGACGTACAATTCTTTAGTGATATAATTTCGGTAGCTACATTTCAGGGACGTTGGTTTAAAATCGCATTAATAAACATACATTGTCCGACCGAAGACAGTGACGATGAAGTCAAAAGTGAATTTTACGATAAACTCGAATGGGTTTATGATAAACTACCGCGAAACTACATGAAAATTATTGTAGGTGACGCGAACGCAAAGGTAGGAAGGGAAGAAGTTTATATTCCGACGATTGGTAAAGAAAGTTTGCACGAATATAGTAATGATAATGGGATCCGTCTGATAAACTTTGCCATCTCAAAAAATCTGATAATTAAAAGTACGACGTTTAAACATAAGGATATTCATAAATATACTTGGACATCACCGGATTCGCAAACACGAAATCAAATCGATCATGTCTTGATACAACACAGCTGGCAAAGCAGTATAATTAATGTACGGTCTTATCGCGGAGCAGAATGTGGGTCGGATCATGAATTAGTAATCGCGAAACTTCGACAAAAACTTAATATAAAAAAGAGAAAAGAAAACCGTTTCGATTTTGAGAATTTTAATTTGGAAAAATTAAAAAATCCATCAATTAGAAACCAATTCGAGCTAGATGTTAAGAATAGGTTTGAAGCTTTAGAGCTTCCTAACGAGGACCACGAGGATATTGACAAGTTATGGGTAGAGATCAGGGATAATATTAAAGTGGTCGGTAACTCGTGTCTAAGAAAAAAGGAAAATAAGAATAACAAACCGTGGTTTGATGAAGATTGCTTAAACATGTGTGAAAAAAGAAAAGCCGCTAAATTAAAAGCTCTAAATAATCCTAGCGAAGACAATCTGGAGTACTTCTGAATCTCAAAGAACGAAACGACAAAATTGCTCAAAAATGAAAAAAGGGAGTATCTTAAAAATAAAATAATTGAAATAGAAACTAATAGAATCGAAAATAACGTAAGAGACATGTACAAAGGTATAAACAGATCACGTAAATATGTAGGGCCCGTAACGTCTGGAATTAGGGATGATAATAACAATATTCTGACCGATCCGGTTGACATATTGAATAAGTTTAAGGACCACTTTGACAATATTTTAAATACGGGAAATTATGATCTGTGTCCTCCTTCTGAGTACCAGAGTGCTGAACCATTAATAGAAGGACCAAGTAAAGAGGAAGTTGAAGTAGCTATCGGAAAATTAAAATCATATAAAGCAGCGGGAATCGATAATATTCCTACTGAACTAATTAAGGCATGCGGGGAAGCTGGAGTTTCTAAAATACATCGGTTGGTTAAAAAGATCTGGGTGAACGAGAAATTACCTGAAGAATGGAAAGAATCTATTCTTATTCCGATTCACAAAAAGGGTCCGAGGACGGATTGTAATAACTATCGAGGAATTTCACTCCTTCCGGTATGTTATAAAATATTCACTTTAATCTTAACCAGTAGAATCACGGAATACGCTGAGGAAATTATCGGAGACTACCAATGCGGATTTAGACGGAATCGTTCGACTATTGATCAAATATTTTCTTTACGGCAAATATTAGAGAAAAAATTGGAGTATAACGGTATTGTTCACCAGCTGTATATAGATTTTAAAAAGGCTTACGATTCTATTGACCGCCAGAAACTGTATAATATTCTAATCGAGCAGGGGATTCCAAAAAAACTAGTAAATCTAGTCAGGATGTGCTTGACGGAGACACTCAATAAAGTTAGAATCGGTAATAATTTGTCCGAAAAATTTGAGGTTCGTTCGGGCTTGAAACAGGGGGATTCTCTTTCGCCTGTCCTGTTCAATTTGGCATTAGAACATGCCATTAGGGAGGTAATGCGAACCGAGAAAGGGTTGGATCTGGACGGAACAACATCCGTGCTGGGCTATGCTGATGATCTGGTACTGTTAAGCGAAGACGTTGAAACTATAAAACTAAATACGACAACGTTAATGAAAGCCGGTAAAGAACTAGGACTCGAAATAAACGTGGATAAAACAAAATATATGGTTAGCTGCAAAAATGGCGATACTACTGGTGATATCGATATAGATGGTAATATGTTTGAACAGGTAGATAAATTTAGGTATCTAGGTTCTACAATAACTAGAAAAAACGAAATTGAAGAAGAGATTAAGGTTAGACTGAAGGCGGGCAATGCTTGTTATTTTTCTGTGACAAAACTACTTAGTTCGCGCCTCTTGTCCCGAAACTTAAAAATTAGAATCTATAAAACAATTATCTTGCCTACAGTTCTTTATGGATGCGAAACTTGGCCGCTTACATTAAGGGATGAGCAGCGTCTTAAGGTTTTTGAAAATAAAGTATTGCGTAGAATATTCGGACCGAAGAAGGATGAGTTAACCGGAGAGTTCAGACGGTTACACAACGCCGAATTGCGTGAGCTGTATCCGGGTAATATAATTGAGGTAATTTCATCGCGGCGAATCAAATGGGCTTGTAAAGTTGTTGGGCTTAGTAACGAGAGAATTCCTAAAAGGTTAATATTTGCTGTGCCGAATGGTTAGCGTCCGAGGGGTAGACCGAAGCGAAGGTGGGAAGATTGCATTAAAGCCGATCTGAAGGGACTGGGTTTGGACGGCGAACGGTGGAGGGAGGTGTGTAACAAGCGATTGGTGGTGTCGGCATCGAACCTTCGGATTCGCTAAGCCTTATTATTATTATTTGAAACAGTATCTGTATCTTTATTTTCTATAACATCAGACAATAAAGTCACAGATACTGAAAAACAAGAAGAAGCAGTTATATATCATTATTTGGCTAATATCAAGCTAATTCTATGAAGTGGAGTGGAGAAAATAACGTTCTCAATAAATTTTTATAGCTTTTAACCTATTTCTTAAGTACTCACAAAGTTGTTTGAACCAAGAAGTTTCATTTCACTAGATTTTATTTAGGTATAAGTATAATAGCAACAAAAATAATTATTTTTGAAATCCTAGCAGTTCTATTCATCAAAAATTTTTCCCTACAGAATTCAGTATTCCTAGTCTCTTGGAAAAAAGCCATTGTTCTTCAGTTAAATAAAAAGTCTAACCCTTCTTCTCCTGAAGATTTCTGCCTAATCTCCATTCTTTCCAATCTCTCAAAACCCTTACAAAGATTGATGCAATCCCAAGTTTCCAATTTCCTTGAAAAGTCCAACCAACTTGATCCTCTCCAATTTAAAAGTAACAGTGATAGTCAGACTGCAATAGATGATAAAAAATTAACTGTCCTTACACTTCTTGATTTCTCCAAAGCATTTGATTCCATTAACCATCCCATCGTTTTCAACAAACTAAAATCACTATCCTTCTCCAATATTTCCATCTCTTGGTTCCAATCTTTCCTCTCACAACGTACCCAAGCAGTTTCCATTCCCAATTAAACGCTATTCGCCCACCTTTCCTTATCCTCTGGAGTTGCCCTGGGATCAAGCATACCTCCGCTCCTTTTCAGTTCTTACATTAATGACCAACACGATTTAATTCTCCATCGTTCCCATCATCTTTATGCAGACGATTCTCAAATCTACCTACCTTTTACTCCCTCTGAGTTGTTGGTAGCATTTGCCAAGATTAAAGAAGACCTAGATTGAATCAGTGCCTGGGCAAATGTAAACGGATCAAGGTTAAATGCTGCCAAAACTCAGGCCATTGTAATTAGTTCCAACCCCCTTCTTAGATCCTATACAGACTTCGAAACCCTGATAGCCAGCCAATCTTCTTCTACTCCTCTGTTAAAAATTTAGGAGTTTTCATTGATTAAACCCTCTCCTGGAATCACCACATTTCTCACATCTCCCGACAGATAATTTCTACCCTCAAACTATTCCATCGCTTCCGCCATCTCCTACCTCAACACACGCGTAGACTCCTGGTTTCCTCTCTCATCTTCCCCCACTTTGACTACAGCTGTGTGGTGTATGATGGACTCTCAGTTGAGCTCCGTGACAGACTGAAAATACTAATGAACAGCTCTCCTCCCCCCATTCAAAGACAATATTTCATAGGTACATTCTTCTATCAAATCATCAACAATCATTGTCCTTCTTATGTCAACAACCTTCTCCAATTTAAGTCCTCAGTCCATTCCCTTTCCACAAGATCTTGACCTTTACATCCCTTCTCACAGATCTGCCTCACTCCCAAAACTCCTTTATTGCTTGCTCTGTTAATTTCTGGAATTACCTTCCTATCAAAATTCGGCATTCCCCCTCCATATCTACATTTAAAACTCTCCTATTCCAATTCCAGTCCCCAAAACAGTAAGATACCCACTAATTTTTTATGTAAAATTACATATTATTCATAATGATGTATATATATTATTTTTTTCCCTAAAAGTGTGTACTTACGTTTTAAGTGTCTTTGCATAGTTACAAGTGTTTTGTATATAAATTTTTTAAAACATTGTATATATAGGATGTTTAACTAATGTTTTCTTTACTTATTTCTCTTTTTTTTTACTTTTTGTATTTTTTGTTATTTAGGCCAGATATGATATTTTAATTTTTTATTATTCAAAAGGGACTTTGCCCCAGAATAAAATTATTTTCTATTCTATTATAAAGGGAAGTTTTGGGAATGATGAAGAGCCCCCTCTCTCCCCTAAATGTCCCCTATAATAGAAGGGAATAGTGGATTATAAGGGACGACTATGCATAATAATAACACGATAATTACATTTTCTATCAGTTAAATATAAGTTAAAGTGAGTAAAGGGGAGTTTTAGGAATGATGAAGGGCCCTGAATGTTCCATACAGTGGAAGGAAAGTTGAAGGAGTGGAGTCTGACCACCAGCCTTTTAGAGACAATAAGGAAATAGTGGAGTATAAGGGACAACTATGCATACCACCACTAGTCTGCACAAACTAGAGACCCTAGATATACAAAACTATTTACGTTGTTAAATGTGTATTCTCCAATCTGAATAGCATCAGGAAAAACAAAAAGAATGAACAGCACATTTACGTTTTTAAAAAATGTTAATAATTTATTTTATCTTATTATAAGATGAAACAGGCAATAAGGCAAACAGTACTTACAATTCACATTTATTAAAAATTGAATTAGCTAATATTGTTCATGCCTTGCTATGTGTACATGATCAATACTTAATTTATTGACAGTTCTAATGTGATCACAAAAGTTTATGGTATTCCTAATTTATCAAACAATGCTAGAAACATGGTTAATGAACATTATCATTATGGTTTTGTGGCCCATATTGGCGTTCCCACATCTTTACATACTCTAGTTTTCGTTCTTCCCTTCTTTTGAAATATTCAGGAAACCTGCAAATGAAATAAACATTCAAGATGAAATGAAATGAAAAATAATTTTATTCTGGGACTGAAGTCCCCTTAGAATAATAGTAGAGTTTACAAAATATGTACCTTAGTCTGGCATGTAAGTATTATATAAATATATACAAAAAATATCTAGGAAATTGTAAGCACACACATATATGTATATATATCTATACACAAAAAAATACTAAGAAAAATACAAATATATATATAAAAAAAAAATAAAAGTACCAAGGAAAATATCTACATAACATAATAACGATAAACACAGATATATACAATAAAATACTGAGATATAAAAAAATTAATAAATAAAAATAAAATGGCTTCTATCAATTAACTGCTGGTGGCCAACGTAATTATATAACCCAGAAATTTTTACAAGCTTGCGGAAGTTTGAATTTGTAGTAGGTGGTGGAATAGGAGTTGTTTGAAGGAGTTTATGGACGTGGTTTGACGTATGGAGATGGGTAAGGAGTTCCATAAGGAGGTAGCACGAATGACGAAGGATTTACTGAAGGAAGTGGTTTTATGGGAAGGGATATATAAATCTATAGGTTGAGATCTGGTATTGAGAGAGTGGATAGAGAAGCGTAAAGTAAGGAGTTCTAAGATGTAGGGAGGGTTTTTACTTCTGAGAACTTGAAAAAGGAAAACACCAAGTAGGAATTGCCGTCGGGAAATAGGATATAGCCACTTTAACTCGGTGTACCAACAAGAAAAATGAGAACACTTGGAAATCCCAAACATGAATCTTAAGAAGCAATTCATAATTTTCTTCAGTCTTGCCTTCAGTTCAGTGGACAGCCCTCCATACACCAGGCAACCGTAGTCGAAGTGGGGGAAGACAAGGGATGTTACTAGGAGCTGTCGGGTTTTTTTGGAATGGAATCACGGAATCGAAGGAATTGTTTAAGGATAGTTATGGATGGTAATCTGGGAAATATAGTTGTTCCAAGAGAGGTTCTGATCAAAGATCACTCCAAGGTTTTTGACTGTCAGAAAGAAAGGGAACTGATGAGGTGCTTGCAGCCGATTAGGATTGCCTTGGTTTTGTCTGCATTCAACTTTAGTTTATTTTTTTCCGCCCACCTATGGATACAGTCAATATCCTCTTGTAGTTTTCGGATAGCCCCTGGCATCTCAGATGGTTGGAACGATAAGTAAATTTGTAGATTGTCTGCATATAAGTGATAGTGGGAATGACTAATGGAGTCGGGAAGGTCGCTAATATAAATGGAGAACAGAGTTGGAGAGAGTGAGGGTCCCTGAGGAGCACCTTGTGTTAATTGAAGGGAGGAGGAAGGAGATTTGTCAGGAAAACTACTGTCTGGGAGCGATGGGATAAAAAGGAGAGGAACCATTTCAGAACGCTATTCGATATAGGAAGGCTTTGGAGTTTGGTAATTAGAATATTATGATTGACGGAGTCGAATGCTTTTGAAAAGTCAAAAAGGACTAGGATAGAGTTTCTGTTTGTCTATGGATGATTGGAGGTCTTGGGTAATCTTTAATAAGGCAGATAGGGTGGAGTATTGAGAACAAAAACCGGATTGTAGATGATTGAGGAGACAGTTTTGCTCTAAAAAGTTGTTCAACTCAACTCAAAAAAAGATGCTATCAGTTTTTTACAACACTAACTTAGAAATTTTCCTAGTTTAGTAAATATTTTAAAAATAGAGAATTAAGGATGATAGAATATATATTGCATTGAAGTAAAATTAAAATAAATCAATAAAGCAAGTAAGAAATAGAATATAAAAAATCTGGTGCATGCATCACACAACTTTCGTTTACCACCCTCTTCTTAGCAGAAATAAATATTTTCAGACAAAGGGAAATGTAAGTAAAAGACGTTTTTTATTTACATTTAATTGTGGGTGTATACAAATTTGAATTTTTATAACGCTGTATTCAATACAATTGAATATCAAATAATACCAATATATTATTTATAAAAACTGCATATGTATATGTACATAATATTGTTGGAGTCCGTATTATATTAAGCTAATGTTACGTATGGAAGCATGTTGTAATCATTCAGGTGAGCTCGGGCGCGCATGTATTCCTTTGATTCATCCGTTACGATCTCTTATTTGTCTTTAAGTTAATTATGAGATTATTTCATATTTTATATTTAGCTATTTTTTATAACAAAGATTAATGTGAAATGGTTAATTATTTCAAATAAAAAAAATTAAAGGTAATTTAGAGGAAGCTAATATTGAAAATTAGCCATTTAAGCCATTTTGCCAGACTTGGTTATTTGGACTCAGGAGACCTCAAAACATAACGTGTATTTCAGTTGAAAACTTAGATTTGAAAATTTTCATGATCGCAATATTTATCCTTATTATACATTGCATATATAGGTAAGTGAAAGTAAAAATTGATTATAGTTATGAATAGTTAGGATTTTTTGGGGGCAAAAAATTCAAAACCTGAATAAATATGAGGTTATTATTACAGAAATATTAAAAAATACAGTTGATCCTTGCTATACTGAACATACAGGTTCCTAGAAAAACCAAAAATTACACCTAGAAAGATTGCGATTTTTTATTCTTCAACCTCAACCTTTTCCAAGTCAAATTCAACCTCTTCCATTTCAAATTAAACCTTTTCCATTCAACCTTTTTTTATTTATTTAGATGGTTTTAATTTTTCGATGTGCGGGTCTGTTATCGTATAAGTAGTTTTTGAAAATAACATCCATTTTAAGATTACATCACTCCGTTTCGATTTATTTAAGTTTTTTTTAATTTATTCGATATAAGGGTGTATTCTTATCTTTCCGAAGCCGTAGATTTTGAAAACGACCTCCATTTTAAGATTAGGCCACCGCATTTCGATTTCTCTAAGTTTTTCATATTTTTATCATAAAAGAGTGTATTCTTATGTTTCTGGAGTCGTAGATTTTGAAAATGACCTCCATTTTAAGATTACGCTGCTGCGTTTTGATTTATTTAAGTTTTCGAATTCATCGAAGTGTTTTTGATTTTCCTTCGAATAAAAAACAAAATACGAAAGATTAATTTATTTTTCAATAAATAAATAAAAATATCTAATAAAAATAAATAAAATATGCATTGTCTCATTTTTAATTTAATTTTAGTTATCTTTTTTATTGTTGTGGTCTCCTGTCACAAAATTATAAGATTTCGAACAATTAGCTGAAAAATCTGAATACGGTAGGTTAAATTTATTACCAGTTGCTTTTCGGCTTTTTAGTTTGTATTCTGTGGTTAATTTAATTTAGCTCTACAATATTTATTTATTTATTCATACTCGAAAACATATTGATGAAACTTTGTATTGAAAAAATCCAAAATGAAGCCTAATTAATCGAGATGCAGCGGCTTAATCATAAAATGGAGCTTAAATATTAGATAAATTTAAATATTAAAGATTAGAAAAATTTCAATATGTCTCTGATAACATATAAGTATATCCTTATTCCGAAAAAGTAAAAAAAAAAACTTTTATAATCCAAAACACAGTGGCATAAACTTGAAATTGGGTCATTTACAAAATGCGGGAAATCTACTGCTCCAGAAACATAAAATTAGACCTTTATACTTGTTAAATTCCAAAAACTTAAATAAGTTGAAACACAGTGGCGTAATCATAAAATAGAGGTCATTTTCAGAATCTACGGTTCCGAAAACATATAAGTAGACCTTTAAATTGGATAAATTCGAAAAACTTAAATAATTCAAAATGCAATGGCGAAATCATGAAATAGAGGTCATTTTCAAAATCTACGGCTCAAGAAACATAAAAGTAGACCTTAATATTGGATGAAGTCGAAAAACTTAAATAAGTCAAAACACAGTGGCGTAATCATAAAATGGAGGTCATTTTCAAAATCTACAGCTCCGGAAACATGAAAATACACCCTCATATGAAAAATATCCGAAAAACTCAAATAAGTCGAAACACGGTGGCCTAATCTTAAAATGGAGGTCGTTTTCAGAATTTACGGCTCCGGAAACATAAAAGTAGACCTTTATATTGGATAAATTCTAAATACTTAAATAAATCAAAACACAGTGGCGTAAACATAAAATGGATGTCATTTTCAAAATTTACTGATCGGGAAACATAAAAATACACCCTTATATCGAATAAGTCAAAAAAACTTAAATAATTCGAAACGCAGTCACGTAATCTTAAAATGGAGGTTATTTTCAAAAACTACTCAACGATAACAGACCCACACATCGAAAAATTAAAGATAATTAAATAAATAAAAAAAAGGTTTAATTTGAAATGGAAAAGGTTGAATTTGACTTGGAAAAGGTTGAAATTGACTTGGAAATGCTATATAATTATGGTATGGTATGTTCAAAATGTTATATGTGTAATTAATGAATAGAAACGATACCATAATACAAATTCAATGTAAATTTATAAGTGTTATGAAGTGAGGCGGAAATGAGCTGAAGTGTTAAACTCAAAAGGTAGCTTTCTCAGAAGTGCTAAGTTTGGAAGTGAACTATAGCAAGATACAATCCACACTCTGAATACATGAATTTGCTGTTATTCATATAAATCATAGAAATATCCAGCTATAAATTACAGACTAATTCAGATTCTTTAATATTCCCATAGAGTGTGACAGCTCAAATTTGAGAATATGAGATAAGAGTTGGTTAGAAGATGGCACTCTCTTTCCAATCCCAAGACTGTCAAAATGCACATTTCTCCAGAACTATGCATATTAGTACAAACTCTTATTACTAGTTTTCAGAACTGAACTCATCATTCCACATTGAGCAAGTAACAGATATTAATTATATATATATACAATAATCTGAAAAATTCAAAATTTTCTCTGTCAGTAAACCACTTATTGTGAGGCACAAGAATGTGGAGGTACTCGTTGTACCATATCTTCCAAAACTAACGAAGTATCTTGGAAACCATCTCCCAATATAAAGGGAAATACTGGCGTGTCTTCCTGTTCTAATCTAATATAAATAGAACCTTATACCGAATAATTAAAAAAAAACTTAAATAAACCAAAACACAGTCCCATAATCTTAAAATTTGACTTGGAAAAGGTTGAATTTGAAATGGAAAAAGTTTAATTTGACTTGAAAAACGTTGAATTTGATTTGGAAAAGGTTGGAATTGACTTGGAAATGCTATATATGATAACTAGGTAAAGAGTTGATGAACTATAATCTTACTAAAATGACCATGAATATCAACTTTATTCTTTCCTACCTATACTAGGTAAGGAAAGTATTGCGATCAGGTCAAATTTCCGATATGCGGTTTTCAATGGACCTATACATTTCAGAGCCTCCTGAATCTGAAAATCACATTTTTAGCCATTGGCCTGTCTGTGCCAAGATTTTCTAAGGAACCAGTGAACCGATTTTGTTGCTTCTTTTTTTATTTTGTAGGGTTTTGACTACTGATGCCTGTGGCACAAATTGGGTGCTCCCTGCGTAATAAGTGAAAAAAATATTTTTTTATAGACTAGTGCAACGATTTTGATGAAACTTTCCTATAATGTTCTAATAATTGTCCTTTCTTGGTTTCGGGCCTAACTCGCTAAGTATATATTCTATGGTAAAATTTATAATATAACTTTTGAAAGGTAATTAAATTACCAACAAAATACAAAAAAAAATAATCAGAATCGAACCAGTATTAGCGATGATACAGGGTATTCTATTTTCTACACATGTTTTAATTTATTACTTTCCTACCTATACTAGGTAAGGAAAGTAATGCGATCAGGTCAAATTTCTGATACGCGGTTTTCAATGAATCTGTATGTTTCAGAGCCTCCTGAATCCGAAAAACACTGTTTAGCCTGTTCTCTTGAAAGGTGATGAAATTCCTTATTAACTATATAAAAATAGTTCATTTCAGACAACTATTAACGAAGTTACAGCTATTCAATTTCCAATGTAAGATTACGGGTTCATATCCTGGTGTCAGGAAGGGGTGAATGAGAGAGAAAAAAAGAAAACTAAGAAAATCTGTTGCCCGCATCACACAAGCTTCACTATTTCCTCTACTTTTAACAGAAATTATTGTACTACAAAATTAGGCTATGGCAAAAAGTTTTTGATCAGAAATATTATAGGATATTGAAATTTTTACACTGATCTACCACAAGCCGGTTTATGTTGCTTTAGTTTATCAAAGAAATTGTACTCAAATCTTTCCTTTGATCAATTTTCAGGAAAATAAATCTAATTAATTTTTTTTTTTGTTTCTTAATGGACATATGTAAAGTTATGAAAACTTTTCTGAAATATCTAGGAAAGTCGTGTGAGTGGACACACCAGATTTTTAAACTAGAGATTATTAAGTATTAAAATATTAGAAAAAATATTACTGAGCTTTCTCCAGTGGATGCCAGTAGTCTAAGACCCAGTCTGGAATGTGAGGATCTCTATCATAAGCGTTGCCTCCAATAGTCTTAGGAACTGAAAAATTTATTATTATATTCAAAACTCAATTTCATAAATTATAAAAGACAAATGAAACCAAATACAATCTTCATAAGTTAATCAGTTTGGAACACAGAAAATTACTACCTAAAAATAATAAAACAATTATCAGAAGAAAAATAAATATATTAAGGTATATATGACTTACTGAACCTATTAACATTTTCACATAATATTCTTTGATATTAAACAATCTTTAATAAAGAATAGATCAACATAGACTTTTTTATTTACTTTTATCCTGACGTTTAGTTGGCCTATTGTGCACAGTCCTTAAATCAACCTATAGCTTAAGACCAACATATAATTACATCATAGACCAGTTCTGTCAACCTCTCAATAGAAAAAAAAATTGTCAATATGTCATAATGTACACAATATTATATTTTGAGTATAAGTTAAGACGATTAACAATAAACATGTAAGATTTAGTTGATATAAAGGATATCCCATAAGTAAAGGGAAAAGTTTTTTTAATGAAATTATAATTTAAAAAAATATATTTCTAGTATTTCATAATACTAGAAATATATTTTTATATTTATTACTTATGTAAAATTGGCATAACTAATTCATATAATTTTCAGGAAAACTGTTTTAAACAAAATGAGGAGAAAAAATTCAAACTAATTTGTGATGAAGACAGAATAAGAAGACAACTTAATTTATAAAATTAATTTAACAATTTCTACCATAGAGTAGTATACTAAAAACTTTTAAATTGATTTTTTAAAATATTTAAAAACAGATTTAAAGCCAAAACTTTAAAACATAGAAGATATAAAACTTCTTGTTAATTTATTTTTTAATTTATGAAATAAAATATGTATGAGTAATGTGGTCTTTTTGTAAAACATCAATAATTATATTCTATGGTGTGAATGTGCTCTCAGAACTCTATTATAAATGTCCTTTATTGAGACAGATTGTAATATTTATCAATAGAAAAAAAAAAAAAAAAAAAAATTATATTAAGATCTGAATATTGTGTTAAGCTATTATATTTAGCTATAATATTATATTAAGATATTAAAAAAAAAAAAAAAAAAAAAAAAAAAAAAAAAAAAAAAAAAAAAAAAAAACAAAGGTTGTTTATCATAAATTACATAGGAATTTAAATCCTTAGTGAACATTAACTTATCTAATAATTCAATACAAACTTCCTGAGATAGAAAATGGATATAAAAAAAATAAAAAACAAGCAAAATAAAAAAAACCTGCACCATTACAACCTTTTACTAAGTGCTTTATAAGCAAGAACTGGTTCTTGGCCAACAGTTGGTTAAGGAGGTGGATTGACTGAGATCATGCCTAATAATCAGGTTTTCCCTTCAATTAATTATTTCATTAAGAGTACCTCAGTTTATAGAGATTGGGTGCCCCAGCAGTGTCTCCCAAATCGAGAGTCGATCAACAGGTGATGAAACACAATGATTAACTGTTTGGTGTAACTGGATTAAAACACAGGACCTGAAGCATTGAATTTTAAATAGGAAATTTAGTTATTCATCTAAATAATAGGCTACTTTTGAACCTTGGAATGTAATTTTTTTTACGGAGGTCGAGTTTGTATCATATTGTGTAGCATACAGAGCTATACATACCTAATAATTTTTATGTGAATAATTGGAAACAAAGTTAAGTTATCACGATTTTTGTATTTGTCAACAAAATTTTGAAGGGTCCAGCATAGGCCAAAATTTTGTACAGAAAATTTCAGTTTGTTATATTTGATAATTTTATATTTGCTTTTGTATGGGAACAGGGGAGTGGTGTAGCTCAGAGGTGGGATACTGGGCTTCCAATGCTAAAGGTCCCAGATTCAAATCCCGGCTCATGGCAGAAAAATTATTTATTTTGTGTCATTGGCCGTGGGGTGACTGGATAGGTAGACCCTCCTGGGGCACACCCAGCCTCAATAATTAAGTGGAAAATCCTAGCGGTTGAGCGTGATCTCGGGCAAATCACCTCCTTGCACAACTGTAGACAAGAAACAGTGCTTTCCCTAAATAGTACTGAACCTAAGACCCTTCATGGGTTGTAGTGGTACAGGTCTGTATGGGAACAAATTGTAACAACCACCGTAGCAATGCGGGGGCAAATATTTTTTTAGTGAGAAACAAAGTTGATATTTGATCTTTGCACCTCAGAAAACCTTTAATACAAATTTTTATAGCTATTGAAAAATTTTCTACACAAAATTTAGACCTAAGCTGGATCCTTCGAAATATTGTCAACAAACACAAAAATTGTGATAACTTAACCTTGTCTCAAACGATAATTATTAGGTATGTAGAGCTCTTTATAGTACCCAATATGGAACAAACTTGACCTTGGTAAACAAATTATAACCGAAGATATAAAATAAAAATGTTTGAGAAGTTTTTCTGAATTTCTAGCTTAAAATGGAATGAAATCCAAAAGCTAATGATGTGGTTTGGAAGAGGATTAATTCAGCTTTCCATTAGTTGTACTGACATTAAATTTGGAGAAAATCTTGAGAAGTTATGAATGATATAGTTAACGGCCAGAAAAATAATCCTTCAAGAAAATCATGCGCTAAAATTTGAAATTTTTGTTTTCCATAAAAATTTGTATTTAAGGGTTTTAAAGATCACTACAACAAAAATTTACTTGGCCTACTTTACTGGAAGCACCTTTTGGTTTTTGTTAACTAAGAGACTTTATAAATAATTTGATACTATAGTCAAGAGTTTTTTCTTATTTTATAAAAAAAGAAACAAAGTGATATATAATAACTAGAGACCGGATTTCTATGTTGTTACAAATTTTCTTCGCTGCATATAAAAACCCTGGACCCCAATATCTATTCGTTTCAGGATCTGTGGAATAAATAACATATTTAAATTTTATGCCACACAAAATTGCACATTTAACCGATTTTGGGTTAAATTGCATGATTATGATTTTTGTTGCATTAAATTGCACAGTTTTGTTCATTTTGTGCGAGATTGGATGATTTATAAATATATGTATATATATATATATATATATATATATGTGTGTGTGTGTGTGTGTGTATGTGTGTAGAAAAATTTACTTTTTTATTTTACTATATTGTCCATATTAAATTTATAATTTAAGAAAGAAAAATATGAAGAAGGTAAATGATTCTGTGACTGGTAAAATTCAAATTTAACGTTACGAAAGGACGAAGTAAACACAAGTGTAGACTGATATTCTTGGAATAGAATTTGCCTGAAGTAATTAAATAAAAAAAACTGCCTCCCTTGTTTTGACTTGAATTCTCACTCTTTCTTCTAGTAATCCTCTTCTCACTCTTTACAGTCCTTCAGTATCCCTTCTGGCTTCGAAGTGAATCGTAATATTTTTATTAGTAATAATTTTAAAAAAGATTGAATAATGAGGAAACTAAGATCTATTAATCTCCTCTAAAATCAAAATGTGGATATCAAATTATACCGAGTTGAAATTTGATGGGAAAGTTGTTTTCTGTACAGTCTTTGAAAAATCCATCGAGTGTGAAAGAAAATCACAGACAGATGTTCACTGTAAAACAGGTAAAAAAAATATTTCCATTAAAGGTTTTGTGCTAGATTGGATGATTTTTAGAGCACAAGTCCCAAAAATATTTATTTAGTGATCTTGAAAATCTCAAACATTACAGTGTATTCTTTAAGTTTCCCAAAAATGCTTTAAGTCTTAACACATTTTTTTTCTGAATATTCCAGACCCTTTCCTCTCCGAGATGAATTCATAATTTTTGACTTTTCACCTTTCTTAAGTATATCATATATAATATAATTTTATAGTTATTATTATTGATTTTTTTGGTAGATGGACATGAATATCAATTTAGACTGAAAAGAAATAAACAGACTCAAATACACCTAACTGATTCTTTTTAAGTATCCATCAGCCAAAACCAATTTTACTTAGATTTGTTCAAGCCATTGGTAAGAGCAAATATACTATTTTTTTAAAACTCCAGTTACCACTATTAGAATAATTTTTAGAAAAATACACAACAAATAAAATTCTGATGAGAATACTTTGAGGAAAAATTATCTCAATGTCTCTTATATGCGATGGTTGATGAGACAAAGATCCTAGAAGATGTTATATATGTAACCTCTTTGTTGGAATCCTCCATCCAGAAATAGATCTAACACCAATCTTAATTACCTCTAAGGTTCTCCCAAAGACAAATCATGAGACTGTCTCAAGATTTGTTAATGATAACTTCATGAGTTTTTTCCAAAACTCACATCATCAGTACAATGTTCTTCTTCTGGTAACAGACATGGCACCCTTACATGATAAGAGCTGGTGAAGCTTTAAAACTATTCTAAACAAATATAATTCATGTCCCCGTGTGGCACACAGATTAAATAAATGTTAGAAAAAATTCAGAATATAGTTCCAGAAGTGAACAAACTAATAAATAACACTAACAAAATATTATTCAAATCAATACAAAGGGTGGGAAAACATAGAAATAATATGAAATGTGAACTTCCTCTGTATCCAGTAATTACAAGGTGAGGAACATGACTAGAAGCAGCTTAATTTTATTCAGATAATTTTGAAGTGTTTGTCAATGAATTGGATCAATAAATGCAATCTATCAACAAAGTAAAGACTATCATGAATTTGGCATCAATAATATCTGATTTGACATTCATAAAATCACATTTATCAAATTTCATGCAAACATTAACTTTGCTAATATCTCAAAATTTATCACTTAATAAACAAATTGAAATAATAGAAACTGTGGGAGAAAATCTTAAAAAAATCAATAGTGAAAAATTTTAGTCCTTAATAGAAAAATACAGGTTACACTCATAAAAAATATATATAATGACTGTATTAATGGTATAAATGTTAATGTTGACAAACAACTAGCAGTGGTTGCTTGTTACAAAATGAGTCCCCCCCCCCCCCCTACATCAGTAGATAGAACACTCTTTTTCTCAATTAAAAGACGTATTAAGCAATAGGAAACACAATTTTTCAGAAACAAATTTAGAAATTTATAACAAACATTGTAAATTTCAATTAGAGTTAAATTTCAAAAAATAACTTTATTCATTACAATATGGACAATTTATAATTATGTAATACATATATTATTTTTAGTTAAAATTAAATATCTGAAATCAATTGGTCTGGTCTATATAATATTTACTTATCCTTCAAACCGTTAATCTTTTTAAGTTTCTGTACACTACTTCATTCTTTGTATGAGTCAGTTAATTAACCAATTTAAGAGGAATTTAAGCAAATATATTTAATTAATTGTCAGTTAATTATTGAGATCTTTCAGTATTTGTTTTGTGAATTATCTTGAAATTTTTTATTATTTATGTTAGTCCTTATTTTTTTTTTAATTTCTCTTTCTTCTAGATTTGGGTTAATCATAATTTATTGTTGTATTAGATTATGTATTGTTGTAGTTAGTTAATTGTAATATGAACTTTAATTTTCAATATTGCATATATAATTTTTTTCCATGACACAATATTTTAATTCAGAAGCTTAACATAAAGTTTGACAGGATTTTGATGTATTGATATTATAAATGAAACAAAATCAATAATTTTTGCTCGTTTTTTAGGTATAAATTACATAATTTTGCACATTTTGAGTTTTTTTTCTGCACGTTTTTTGGATTTTTACTGCACAAAGATCCAGTCTCTAATAATAACCCTAAAATCCATGCAAAGCAAAGGCAAAATTTAATAACATCAATTTTGCTACAAATTATGTAAAATATAGTTTTTTCTCAGCTCCTAGGGAAAAAAAAAAAAATTGGCAAGAATCCTCGGACATGGGTAAAATATTTTTCAACATCATATCACTAAAAAAAGATCATTTAAATTAGTGGCCCCACGTCAGTAACCTCCCCTTGTTAGTTAGTCTTATATTAACAGCTTCGCCAAGTCAAGTAATAATTCACCAATATAAAGGTTTAGACTCACAGTTCATAACTTAAAATAAACCACACCTGACAGCATGTTTTATTCATATAATAAAATATATCGTTGGATTATTGGAAAAAATCATTAAGAACCTTAAATCTTAAGAATTCTGATGATTTTTTCCCTTTGTAAAATCAGAAAATTGCAAGCCTGTAACTACACTTAATGTATAAAAGTGTTTGTGTTATTTTACTGCATTTACTGTTTTTTTTTTAACAATATATAAGATCAAAAGTCACAAGTCCAGCACCATCAAAAATGAAACTAGTGACTTAATGCAATAACCAACATTTATACTATTACATTACTGGGATGCACAGAAAAGAATGATCAACCTAAATTTTGTTTCAGTTAAAACTATAATTCAAGTAACCACCAAAGATGTAGTAATGTAGAACAGTTACTCTATTGTATAAATTTTATAACAGTTCAAAAAACACTTTTATAAACAGATATGAAAAACAAGTAAGGTTGGAACCGCAACTCGAGCCTTTAACAGCCAAGCTCTAAGACTCGAGCCTAGGCCAAGTCGAGAAAGCTGCAGGATAGATGCTACTGGAGTCCAAGATAGTTAATCTCGGAGCTTGATCTGAAACCAAGTAATTGCTTATAGCTTCATTCACAATCTCTTGAAAATTGGATAAAATTGGGGGTGTCAATATGCTGTAGGTAAAGTACTCTATACATTTTTTGTGTCTGGCTTAACAACCCGTAGAACTAAAGTTGTATTTCTTCAAATTTTCACTAAATACATTTAATGTTTCCTGGGAAATAGCAAATGAATCTTAAGTTCTAAATGTTAGAGCCCTAAAATCCCAATTAGAAGTTCATGAATTGCTTAAGAAACAAAGAGAATTTTCCCACCCTCTTTATAGAAAAAAGGAGAAACAATTGCAGCACTTCAAGATACTTGGGCTAACTACGGACACAGGAGGACACTAAAATATGAAACATGAGTGGTAGAAATTTCTAGAGATGGTATACAATGTGTAATTGGTAGAAATTTATCTCTGAGAAACTTATCTATCTTATCCCGACCTTCATTTATTTTCAGCACATTATTTGTGAATGACTTATCACCTTATAATCTTATCATTGAACAAGAGGAACATGAATTGATGAATTGATGATTATTAAGCGAAGGAAAAGCAATAGTTTTCTATAAACAATGACATATAATCAGTATTAACTTACACATCTTTGGCTGATAATGCATTTTCATCCTAAGTTCTTCTTCAGCTTCCTTTACTAACTGAGCAGCTTTCACCTCATCTTTTATATTCTTATTTTCCTCAAATCGAGCCCTCATAAGAGTAGCCTGATATCTGAACACTGGCCTAAATTAAAGTAAGGAAAATTTAATAAGCACATAAACATTAGTATGAAGTAAATATATTGATTTCATTACTCAAATAATCAGGCCCAAGAGATTTAGTTACTAAGAGTAACACAAATGTTGATGATACATACATTCAGACAATTTTATTTCATTTTGGCACTAAAGAAAAAGGGAAAACAGTAAATATGTAATTCAATTTAGGAGCTACCTCCACACACTTGGTTAGTGAGATAAGACATTCAGCGTTTCCAGATTCTCAAATTATTTATGAAAGGGAAATTTCTTTAAAAATGTAGGAAGTCTATTAATTTATAAATTATGAGATCATTTTAAAAAGTAAAGATTAAAATGTCATTAACATGCATACTGCTGTGTCTTACTCTCCACTTTCAAATAAACATGCTTTTTATTTTTCATAACCTCTCTTAAATGTTAGTCAAATTTATTTCTAAACATAAGAGATAACTTGAACATTCTGAATCGTATACCATTACCAACAGAGAATGTACTTCAGTTGGGGAGTTTACTTCTATGTATTAGTATTATAAGATAAATGGTGCACCTTTATTGCTGTCATTACCACTGCCTTGTTTATCTTAAAATACATTTGAAGTATATTTCATATATTATAAATTAACAAATTTTCCACATTGTTAAAGAAATTTTCCTTCTATAAAATATTTTGGAATCTGGAAACATTGGAAGACTACTCTTACACGCAAATACGTGGAGGTAAGCTTCTCAAATAAATCACAAAAAAATGTGGTCCGTAATGTTTAATTTATTCTTTATGAGTAGAAATTAATTTGACAACCATTCACAGGGTTTCCAGTGATACAGCATAAAAAATTCAAGTATTTCAAGCATAGGAAGTGTAAAATTTAAGGCATTTTTTGTCAATTTATCGGTTGAACCAAATGCTTACTATTGAGTTGGCAAATAAGTCCTTTCGATTTTTCTGTTTATTTTTATGTCACTATGATACACTTCTTATCTGATGAATTAATCCCTGAGGTGGATTGTTTATCCTGTTTGTAATATGTCAGCAACTATAACTGTTAACTCTTGCTGAAACGAGCTTAGTATTGTGTATGCTATTGCACTGTGAATATCGAAGAAAATATTATTCATTATCGTTAATGTTTGGGTCCCTCACATGACTTTTTTTTTTTAATATCACAAAAAATTTATAATTTCAATACGACTTTAATTATCTACAAGAAATTTAGCAGGAATTTGGGGCCACATAAACTACACAAAATGACATCAACAGAACTATCGTAAACAAACTACAAGTAGAGATAAAAAATAAAAACCTACAAGAAGTTTTTGTTTATTTATACATAACGTAGGCATTAAATATAGTAACATCAAATTTGGAGAACATGCTGAAGAGTTATGAATGATCGGAAGGGTGTTGTGTTCCTCAAAGACAATGTTAGACCCCATACCTCATTGGTCACTTGCAATAAACCACTGAGGCTTGAATAGGACCTTTTATCCCACCCTCCATATTCACCAGACCTAGCTCCAAGTGATTACCACTTATTCTGGTCCCTGCAGAACTCCATGAATGGAAAGAAATTCCAAAAGGAAGAGGACATCAAAAACCACTTGGATAAGTTTATTAGCACTAAACTCCAGACATTCTATGAACATGGCATTATGTAGTTAGTGGAAAGATGAGAAAAAGTCATATTAAATAATGGTCAATATATTGTAGATCAAAATAAATTTTATGTCTATAATACATTGAGTTTTATTTTACCCTGAAAAACCGAAAGGACTTATTTGCCAAGCCAATAGAAAACTGAGGATGGTATGCATAGTCATTTCTGTAACACTGCTTATATGTTCTGCCTAAAAGAAAGACTTTTATGAACCAATAATCTAGCAATTTATCGCCCTAAAACCCCTACCCTACCTACCTCCATTTGTTACAGCTATTACCACATAAACTACTAGTGCAGACTACTACCAGCGAACATTTGCATTTTAACTAGCCCAACCCAACTAACCTAATCTAACTTTGACAACTGTAACAGTGATCATATAAGAATACATTGTTCTCATACATAGTTGAGTTTTGTTTATTTCTGAATGTAAATTTGATTTTATGGTGCTCATATGTAGTATTTATATAATAATAACTAAAATGGAATACAATAAACCTTAGAATATGAATTTTATAATGTAACTTATTTAAATTTGTCAATATCTTATTATAGTATTTTGTACATATAGAGAATCAGTTTGATAATAGCTAAATTTGGTAGACAGAAACATTAAAATGTGAATTTAATAGTATAATTCAATCAAATGTGTCAATCACTGACATATTGTGGTGTATATATATAGAATTTGTTGGTAATAGCTAAATTTGATAGGCAGAACAAATATATCCAACAATTTAGTACACTAAATAATCAATTAACTATTTATTATGAAAAAATATTATACCACTTCTGCATCAAATCAACATTTTAACAATCCAATTTATCAATTTGTTTTACAACTGTTCAGGCTGTTTAACCACTTCATTTAAAGGCTAAGGTCATTTAAAGATTTTTAAATCAATATGTTGGAGCCACAGTAAATTTATCCTATGGACAAAAAACTGCACAAAGAACATATAGAATTAACAGAGATTTTGAATGGTATAAATGAACAAGCTTATGAATTATCAAGACTCTTTAAGAATATTTAAGCAGTATTTACAGAAATGATTAGACAGACGTTGAAAATGTTAAAAAAGTGAATAATAATAATAATAATAAGGCTTAGCGAACCCGAAGGTTCGATGCCGACACCACCAATCGCTTGTTACACACCTCCCTCCACCGTTTGCCGTCCAAACCCAGTCCCTTCAGATCGGCTTTAATGCAATCTTCCCACCTTCCCTTCGGTCTACCCCTCGGACGCTTACCATTCGGCACAGCAAATATTAACCTTTTAGGAATTCTCTCGTTACTAAGCCCAACAACTTTACAAGCCCATTTGATTCGCCGCGATGAAATTACCTCAATTATATTATCCGGATACAGCTCACGCAATTCGGCGTTGGGTAACCGTCTGAACTCTCCGGTTAACTCATCCTTCTTCGGTCCGAATATTCTGCGCAATACTTTATTTTCAAAAACCTTAAGACGCTGCTCATCCCTTAATGTAAGCGGCCAAGTTTCGCATCCATAAAGAACTGTAGGCAAGATAATTATTTTATAGATTCTAATTTTTAAGTTTCGGGACAAGAGGCGCGAACTAAGTAGTTTTGTCACAGAAAAATAACAAGCATTCCCGGCCTTCAGTCTAACCTTAATATCTTCTTCAATTTCATTTTTTCTAGTTATCGTAGAACCTAGATACCTAAATTTATCTACCTGTTCAAACATATTACCATCTATATCGATATCACCAGTAGTATCGCCATTTTTGCAGCTAACCATATATTTTGTTTTATCCACGTTTATTTCGAGTCCTAGTTAATGAAAAAAAAAAGTGAAAGAAAAACTAAAAGCAATAGTACTTTAACAAGATGAAATAATGGTTACCTATGACAAATATTCCTTTAACGTTGGTATATAATATCATAGAAAAAAAGAGGCATGAAATTAAAAAGGTAAATACAATAAAGAACAAAACAATTTTTTTGGAAGGAATAAAGGTTTGTTCTGAAAATGGAATATTCAAGTGTAATAGTGAGATATAGTTTCAGCAATTTGGATTGCCCATAGATTATTGATCCGTGTGTTTATCTGGTCTGGTAATAAATAAAATTATAAATAGTTCAAGAGAAAAATTAGGAGTGAAAATAAAAGTTTTGTTCAAATATGTAGATGACTTATTTTGCATAATAAAGAAGAATTAAAGAGATGTGATGATGGCATTATTAAATAGCTACGACAGGAGACTTCTAAGATTTCTGGACATGCTAATTATAAGAGAAGGGGACATAATTAACACATAATGGACAAAAAAAGAAACAACCAGCAATGTTATTTAAAATTATTATTCTTGTCACCCGTTTCATATGAAATATATATATGAAACATAATAAACATTTTTTTTAAAGTAATTGAAATAACTAAAGTTAACAGCTTGAAAAAAGTAAAAGAAAAAGTTTGTAAAATTTTTTCTCAGAATTTTTATCCTAAAAGTATAATCAAGAAAGTTAGAGAATTGAACTTGAAAAAAGGTTAACAACATTGAAAGTGAAAATAGGGGAGAAAAAAGGATAAATCAACAAAAGTATTATGGTTGTAATTACATTAAGGGACTATCAGAAGATACAAAGAGGTCTTATATTTTAATGATTATGGCAGATAGACTATATAACAGAAAATCTAGTGCGGTGCGCGCCCCACACAACTTTCATTAGTCAACATTAGAGTAGATAGATATTTTCATATATAGGGAATTCAAAGTGAAAATGACGATATAACTTCATTTAAAACAATTGATTACCATATTTTTCCCACCTATCGAATCTGTTAAATTTATACGTTTGTATCCCTTTCCATTTTCTTTTACGACTGTGTATAGTATCAAACAATACTGATGGTTGTGGGGAAAAATGGATTTTAGAAAGATTTTTGAGGTTTATCGGAAACATTTATCACGAAACTCATTGAAAAAATAACTCAATGTAAGTAAATATTGTATATTATTAGGTTTATATGAGTAGATCCTCAACATTTCATGAAAAAAAAACTTTTTAGAAAATTATGAATAAGTGATATATAAAAGTTAAACTAACAATATGAAAGCCGTGTACAGAGGAGTATTGAATTTTCTTCATTCATTATATTTAACCATTTTTTATATCAGTTGATAATGTGAAATGGTTAATTATTTCACATATTAATTTTGAAAATTAGGCATTTAAACTCTGTAAGGGAACATCAATGAGAATAAGACCTACATTATATTAAAAACTGGTTAATTTTACTCTGACATGATGAATTTAATTAAAATTATTAGAGATGTTTTTGAGAAAAAATTGTAAAATCAATGATATAGTGTCTGATTTTGATCTGGTTATCTGATTTTGATGAAAAAGTTACTGTAACATTCCAGGCATGTAAAAAGTTTAAAAGCGAATTAAATGGGCTAGTAAAATTATTGGACTTAGTAACGAAAGAATTCATAGGAGGTTAATGTTTGCTGTGCCAGATGGTAAAAGTCCGAGTGGTGACCGAAGTGAGGGTGGGAAGATTGCGTTAAGGTCGATCTGAAGGTACTGGGTTTGGATAGCGGCCAGCGGAGAGAGGTGTGTAATAAGTGATTGATACCTATTAATGTAAAACATATTGAATTTAGGATTCAAACAACAAAAAAAAAAAACATTAATCACTACCAAAAAGTCATGGCACACTCCTTTCAGCGCCTGCTGATGTAACGAATAAAGGTGTGCCGACAGGAAGCACTGTATAATACTACGTCTTGCATTCTATAATACTATGTTCCAGGGGTACCTCACTCATTCTGTGCAGGATAAAATTTTTTATCACATTAATTATGCGATGCAAATCAGGTAATGAGATCACTGCCTCTCTGTACCAGAAAAATAATATAGAAAATAATAAATTTAACCATTAAATTCATGAAATTATTGATAACTTTTTTAACAGGAATTTCATTATTCTAGCTATCAATATCTATTATATATATGGTTTTAATGTGAGATGGAAATTATAAGATTTTTCAGCTCTTAATTGTTACTCCATTGAAGTACACCCATAATAGAACATTAAAATTAAATGTACATCACAAATGAAAATTACTAATTTGTCAACATTTATAAGCCAACTAAAATATGAAAGTCAAATACAAAAACATCTATTGCCAGTGTATGCAAATGAGTACAAAGGAGACAATAAATACTCTATAAATACAAGGCAAGACATGTATTTCTGTACATTTGGCTTATAGTCTGGAAATAATTCAATTTCAACTTCAATGGAAAATAATGATTAAATATATATCAAGAAAATAAAAACAGTTGTAGATTTCAAGTTGAGATGATAACTTTAATAAATATAACCATCTCTAATAAATCTTTAAGATGCTTTAACAATAAACAATTCATTCTTTGAAATTTCTTGAATATTACATTTTTTAAACTTTGATAATATTGTTAATATTAAATCATTAACTTTAAGAAATACAGGAGCAGCAATGAAAATTAAAAAGTATGACTTATAAGATCTTCAACTAAATTACTACACACTGTGTCGATAATGTGCAAATTGCAAGAAGTAAAGAAATCATTTGCTATAGACAAATTTATAAAAAATATTTACAATTAAAAACAAATGAGTAAAAAACAAGAGTTTAATTGATACTGACTTTTAAATCAAGAATTGAAATTATATTCAAAATAAGTATAAAACTGCCGCTAATTTCTAATACAGAAATACAAGTACTTGAAAAAAATTATTTATTTGGATACAGAGAAAGGGAGAGAGGGAGGTAATATTCCAGAGGTATAACCAATCTATTTTAACCCGACAGGAAAGGTAGAGATATATTCTTTAACACCACCACAAAAAAAATTCAGCCCACACCCAAGCAGGATATGTTCCAACATACTGAGACATCACGCCCTTAAAAATCAATCACTGTAGATATAATTCCCATAGAAGACTAACTCAATGGCAAAATAAACCCCAATGGTTCCCTTAGGTATGAGCCCTACCAGAGATTGGTTTCAACAGTACAAACCCTGACTCAAGATTGTAGGACTCTGTGATTGATGTGATCTTGATCTACTTATCAACCATTTCGGATACTTGTGATTTACCACCAGAAAACCATTACATTTTATTATTAGAAATCAGGAGGGTACTACTATATAAATAGCACTCCCATGTCCCAAGATCTCATTATCACACCATAAATGGAATAACGAGAATGGCAGAGTGCGTTCAAATGTTGACAGAAGTGACTGAACCGTATGGTTAAGGCCCCGACCTCAACTGAAAATGACCTGTTGGAGATTTGCTTATCACATCAGAGCAATCGCAGCAGGATGGGGCGGGCAATTAAAGCTACATAACACATTAACCGAACAGAACCAGTAAGAAGTTTCCTTAAGTCCTAAATCATGAACTAAATAAACAAAGTGAAGTTATAGAGTGAACATGTCAATCCTCAGAATCCCATTTAAATAAGGAAAAAGAAGACCTGGCTCACTGAAGAAGGTGTAGTGACATTTGTATGGTGTTACCATCAGGAATATATAAAATGATATCTTGTGATAACAAAATATGAATAATATAGAATATTTACAATTAATTAAAACAAATAAATATTTTTATAAGTTTATTGTGCAGAATGAAATAACCGCAGCCTTCGAGTGATATTTACCCAGCAATTGATATCCTTCTATTTTGTGAAAGAAAAAGAAATTGGCCATCATAACATAGATATTATCAGTAAGATGGTTTTAATAGGGAAAATCAATTCTAATTTACTATTTACAGAAAATGAATGTTTTCTAGCATCTTAAGGTTCAACTAAACAACAGTAGATATCTTTTTAAAACCAACTGTAACCTCTTATTTATAATTGAATAGAGGTAATAGGAAAAATATTTAGAATCATTAAGAACGATGACATAGCTACTCATTAAATTAAATAACAAAATAATAAAGAATAGACCAATTTATTTTAAGGCAAATGGTGAATAAAAATAATGGTAGCTTCATAAGATTGTTTCATACGAACCTGTAATAATACCATGATTCTAAATTCCTTATTATCCTTTTGTAAAGGCTTAATACTTTTTGCTTGTGAGTTTTAACAGCGAACGGGATTTGACTTGCCATGATAAATTAGGTGAAGGTTATGACATTTTTTTGAAAAAGAAAGTTATCCAAAGAGCTAACAAATCAAAGAACTAAATTAATTCATTCACAAATTTATGACCAACAATATGTTTTATAGAGGAGAAAGTATCAACTAGAGATGGACAAAATTGTTGATTTTAATTAATCTGTTTACATCAGGCTTCCAGTTGTGTGGCTAGGAGGAGTAATCAGACAGGAGACTCGTCTACTTTGTATTTAGAAATATAATTCAGTCAATGAATGACAAAAAAGAGCATGTAGAGTGAATGGAGAGAAGGAAACATTTACTTTGGGAATTTGTTGACATGCACTTAAGAGGTAAACATACTAAAATTCCCCGTCCCTTCCTGCCGTTTCCTGGTTGAGTGTGCCTAAAAAGTTCCTTTTTTCGGTTTTTCATTTATACATCCATTCTGCGCCATTTTCTTGAGATAAAGATTAAGATAAACGACAATATCCGGAAAATCGACTTTAGCCTCACGTTTTTATTCAAACTTGTCTTATATATAGATAATCTGTACTCCTACGGTAAAAAATTCTTATTGGTCACAGTCCTTAAACCGTTGGTAGCTGTTTTTAACCCGACCAAGACACTTAAATTACCGCACACAGACTTCTCAGGTACGCTATGTTTATCCAGGGGTTCGACGATGACATTGTATACAAGCCTATAGGTCAGCATGGCAATGCAGATGCGCTTTCGAGGCTTCCAATTAAAAGATCAGTAAAGGAAGAATACCAAGATGAGAACACTTAATTTCACCTCAATATGATTTCTGGGCTACCAGTGACATTTGATGAGATCAAGAGGAAGATTGAGTTGGATATGAACTTAAAAAGGGTATTGAAAGAACTCTTAGAATGGAAAGCCGTAAGTGATCATAAGTTCAAGCACTGCGCGAGCGAACTGACGTCTGATTAGGGCTGTATATTCAGGGTTTCGAGAGTAGTCGTGCCAGGAGTTCTTCGGAAAAGGGTGTTGACGGAGATTCATTCTGCACATGTTAGAATGTCGCGAATGAAATCCTTAGCAAGAGGAGACGGTATGGTGGCACGATTAGACTCGGAAATAAAAGAAATGGTACGGGACTGTAGGGCTTGTGCAGCACACCAGAAAGCACAACCGAAAGCTGAGTCTCATCCGTGGGAAAATCCACGTCTATCTTTTGAGAGGATCCACATCGATCATGCTGGATCATGCTGGACGTTCTGAAACCACTCTTTCCTCATTGGTGATGCCGTTTCCTAGTGGTTGAAGGTATTCCCAGCAGTGGCGGATCCAGGAATTTTCTCAGGGTGGGCAAACCTCTGTAACAGGTGCTTCCCCAACCCCTACCCTTCCTCCCATCACTACCAATCTCCCCCCAGTCCTTAGCTGAGTTTAGCCGCTCAAAAGTCCTCTTTAAATGGTTTTAACAAAAGCAAACTCTATTTTTATTTAAAGTAAATTTTGTCTAGTTTACAGTGAAGCAATCGTTAATTACTTAAATTAAATAGTTTTTTTGTTATCACTTCCTATTCAACAAAAAACGTGGCTTACATAAAAAATCACAAAACTTTAATTCCCTACTTTTCTGCTGAAAATCGAACCATTGTTTATATAAACTTTTTTGTATTTATTGAGTTCTGCTATCACTCCTTTAAATATTTCCCTCTACTTACGAGACACCCTGTGTATGGGTTTAGACATGTAAAAAACTAAATTGCTAACACGGGTCACCAAGAGAAAACTTTTTACAGCCAAAAAATCCAGATTTATCTGATCTTTTTTTTTCATGTATTACTACTAAACAGTGCATCAAAGCGAAAAAAGTATTCTTTAAGAAATTAAAGAACGTCAAATTGTGCGTCGAACGAGTACCTAAACTTAATAATTTGATTAAGTGATATGATCGATAACCACGGTCAATGAACGCTAATTTTTACCGACATTGTCAAAATCTGAGAAAGATTACAATAAATGGCCATGCAGCTTGGAAATGAGTTCTCTAAGAACAAAAACTCAGAATAATTTCTGATTCCGATATCAAATCGGAGACCAAATAATTAGTACCTTCCTTCATGAAAAAGTTCCCAACAACAGCTATTTCAGGAAAAGAACAACACTCTTTTATGAGGAATGTATAAATTATCGTGACCAGTTTTATGAATCGCATGAATTCTTCAGGGAGACTATAGTTGCTGAAGGTTGCAATGCATCCAGGTCTATTGCAACTGAATAAAAACTGGATCCGGGAGGAAACCCGTATTTTCTTGTGCTCGAATAAAAGGTTGTTCGAAAGAATAAATGAAGTTCATTTTTATCCATAGGAACAAATTGCGACAGGAGCACAAGCCTTCGCATCTCACGGCAGCCCAAAAACTACATCACTCTTTTCTTTGAATAACTGCTTTTTGGAACTTTTTCGGAATTTTTTGTCTACCATCCAGGGGGTGGGTCGCTTCCTAACAGAATTCACTAGTGCTCGTCACGATAATATATCTTTTTAATATATTACATTAGAAAATTCTTCTATGAGGATGAATTTTCGTTATATTTATCTTTTCATAAACAGGTGCTTAAAATATTAGTTTTCTAAAGAAAGGTCCTTCAGAGGATATTTGGCCCAGTAAGGAGAATGGTGAATTAGATGCAACTAAGAACAACTTATACAAGGAGCCGGATGTGGTGAAATATATCCGGATTAGGCTGAGATCGGAGGAACAAGATGTACGGATGGACGAGACCTCAATCCCAAAGAAGCTGCTGAGCATAGAGCCGGTTGTAAAAAGAAAAGGGGACAGACCGAAACTTAGATGGAAAATGGAGTAAGTTCAGACGCCAGAATGCATGGAATCAGGAACTGGTGGAGGCTGCTCAGGAAAGGAAAACATGGAGAAAACTCTTAAGGCAGCCAAGGATCCAGTAATGGATTGACAAGCTCGAGATGATAATATTGATCACATTAGAAAATCCGTCTAAGAGCCGTTATATTTCTCTTTTCTTTAAATAGCTATTTTTGGGTACTTTTTTCGGAATTATTTTTCTACTATTCAGAGGGAAGCGCCCCCCCCCCTGACAGAAATTACTCACGGTAATAACTTTTTTTTTTAGAAATTAAAAAATTCGTCTATAAGAATGAATTTTTCCTATATTTTTCTTTACTTTAAATAGCTGATTTTCGGAACTTTTTCCCCACCTTCCAGAGAGAGGGGTGCACCCCCGGCTGGATCCGCTAGTACCGGTCATGATAACAATTTTTTTTATATCGTATTAGAAAATTCGTCTTAGAGGAAGATTTTTTCAATATTTCTCTTTTCTTTAAATATTTGTTTTTGTTTTTTTTTGATATTTTAGGGAGGGCGCGCCTCCTGGCAGAATTCGCTTGTGCTGGTCACGATAGTAATTTTGTTTTTATATTACATTAGGAAATTCGTGTATGAGGATGAATTTTTCCTGCATTTATCTTTTCTTTAAATAGGTGTTTTTTCACTAGTTTCGGGATTTGTTTTCACCATCCATAGGATGGGGCGCCCCCCAGTAGAATTCACTAATGCTGGTCACGATAATAATTTTTTTTATATTACACTAGCATATAGATCATCTATGAAGATGATTTTCCCCTATATTTATCTTTTCTTTAAATAGCTGTATTTTATAACTTTTTTTGGATTTTTTTCAAGCTTCCAGGGTGGGGGGGGAGCGCTCCCCGGCTGGACCCACTAGTGATTCCCAGTGAATTATATTAATACTCAGATCACTATTGATCTTATACAACAAAATTTTGTCCAGTATGTACTTCCATTGAAATTGGTAAATGACAATAGAACCAGCTTTACATCAGGAGAATTCAAGAGATTCTTGCAGAACAATGGGATCTTACACCAAACAATAGCATCTTACCATCCGTCGTCAAATGGACAAGCTAAACGGTACGTGCAAACTCTTAAGAGGTCACTGAAGGAAATGATGGAGGAACCTGGAAAACTCGGTGACAAACTAAATGAATTTTTCACGACATTCAGAAGAGCACTACATACCACGACCCTAAAGTCAACGGCCGAACTAGTGTTCGGAAGAACCTTAAAAACAAAAATAGATCTGGCAAAACCAAGAGAGGTCAGAGATGAGTCAGATGGTAGGGAGGAGAATTTATAGAAGAAGGCTTGAGGAGGCTTGAAATAGGTGATCTTGTAATGGCAAGGATTTACAACGATCGAATGAGAGAGTAGGCACGAGAGATAGTAAACAGAAAGGTTGGAAAACTGATGAACATCGTTGAGACTGTCGAAGGGATCACAGTGCCACGTGGATCAGCTGACAAGAGGACCATCGAAATAAGGGTAGAGGAGTATTATACAGTTTTATATCTTGTTAATCACATTTTTGATAATCGATATTGTTATAAAAACACATATGTTCACGTTGTATATATAAAAAAAAAGATAACCACAATAAAGTTATGAAACATTTTGTTTATCGATAATAATTCTCTCATTACACAAAAAGTAGCTATTATATCTTGGAAATTAGATTTTTGATAATCGATATTTATATAAAATATCGATTATTAATAATCTAATTAACAAGACGTAATATATTATATTTAACTATTTATTACTACTTATTACAATGTGATTTTTTTTTCTGTTGGTATTAAAGAACTTGTAAATCACCATAATCAGCCTTCTCTATCTCCGCCTATCTAGGTCTATTTTTTCCCAATTGTCTGCATGCAATTATTTCGCCTCTTTGTTGATTTGATCGATCCATCTCATTTTTGACCTTCTCCATGGTATTTTGTCTACTATTAAGCATTCAGTGTTGCGTCGAGGGTTCCAGATGGATTTCTCTGAGCTACATGCCTCGCCCATCTTAACCTTCCTGCCTTAATATCACGAGATATTGATTGACCAGTTTCTGTAAGCAGCTCTTTATTGGTCTTACTCCTCTATGTGTTAGTAATCTGATCCCAGATTGCTTCGGTTATCTTACGGAGGATTTTTCTCTCAGACCTTTC